CATTTTTTTCCCCAAAATCCCCATTTTTCCCCCAAAAATCAATTTTTCCTCCAAAAAAACCCATTTTCCCTCCTAAATCCCCATTTTTCCCCCCAAAATCCCCATTTTTCCCCCCAAAATCCCCATTTTCCCTCCCAAATCCCCATTTTTTCCCCAAAATCCCCATTTTTTCCCCCAAAATCCCCATTTTCCCTCCCAAATCCCCGTTTTTCCCCCAAAACCCCCATTTTCCCCCCAAAATCCCATTTTCCCTCCCAAAAATCCCATTTTTCCTCCAAAAAACCCCATTATCCCTCCCAAATCCCCATTTTTCCCCCCAAATCCCCGTTTTTCCCCCCAAAATCCCATTTTTTCCCCCCAAATCCCCATTTTTTTCCCTAAAATCCCCATTTTTCCCCCAAAAATCAATTTTTCCTCCAAAAAAACCCATTTTCCCTCCTAAATCCCCATTTTTCCCCCACAAATCCCATTTTTTCCCTCCACAAATCCCATTTTTCACCCCCAAAATCCCCGTTTTTTCCCCACAAATCCCATTTTTTTTACCCAAAATCCCATTTTTTTTACCCAAAATCCCCGTTTTTCCCCCCAGATCCCGTTTTTCCCCCGTTTTTTCCCGAATCCCCGGGAATTCTCCCCGACCTCGTGGAAGAAATGCCGCATTTGGTTCATTTTGGTCTTGAAGCGTTTGAGTTTCTGGTGGATCCTCTTGTCCTTCTCCAGCTGCGCGATCGTCGCCCACTCGCAGTGCAGGTACGAGCTGGGGGCGGGGCCGGGGCTCACCTGGCGCAGGTGAGGCCACGCCCCCCTCGCCGCCGCCGCCGCAACAGCCCCGAAACACCCAAAAATGGCCCAAAAACAGCCCCGAAACACCCAAAAACAGCCAAAAAACACCCAAAAACGACCAAAAAAACACCCAGAAACGGCCCAAAAACCGCCCAGAAATGGCCCAAAAACATCCAAAAACGGCCCAAAAACCACTCAAAAACGGCCCAAAACACCCAAAAATGGCCAGAAACACCCAAAAATGGCCCAAAAACACCCAAAAACGGCCCCAAAACACCCAAAAACGGCCAAAAACACCCAAAAACATCCAAAAACGGCCCCAAAACACCCAAAAATGGCCCAAAACCACCCAAAAACGGCCAAAACCACCCAAAAACGGCCAAAAACACCCAAAAACGGCCCCAAAACACCCAAAAACGGCCCCGAAACACCCAAAAACGGCCCAAAACCACCCAAAAACGGCCAAAAAACACCCAAAAATGGCCCAAAAACACCCAAAAAGGGCCCAAAAACCACCCAAAAACCACCCAAAAACGGCCCAAAAACCACCCAAAAACGGCCCAAAAACCACCCAAAACCACCCAAAAACGGCCAAAAACCCACCCAAAAACGGCCCCAAAACACCCAAAAACAGCCCAACACCCAAAAACGGCCAAAAACGGCCAAAAACGGCCCAAAAATGGCCCTGAACCACCCAAAAACAGCCTCGAAACAGCCAAAAACGGCCAAAAACAGCCCAAAACCACCCAAAATGGCCAAAACCACCCAAAAACAGCCAAAAAATGAACAAAAATGGCCCCAAAATGACCCCAAGTGACCCCCAGTGACCACAGCTGACCATGAATGACCAAAAATGACCCAAAATGACCCCAAGTGACCCCCAGTGACCACAGCTGACCATGAGTGACCAGCAGTGACCCTGAGTGACCCCGAGTGACCATGAGTGACCACAAAGAACCCCAAATGGCCACAAACGACCCCAAAATGACCCCAAGTGACCACAGCTGACCACAGCTGACCATGAGTGACCCCCAATGACCATGAGTGACCCTGAGTGACCCCAAGTGACCCTGAGTGACCCCCAGCGACCACCAGTGACCATGAGTGACCACAAAGAACCCCAAATGACCACAAACTACCCCCAGTGACCCCCAGTGACCACAGCTGACCATGAGTGACCCCCAGTGACCCCCGGTGACCCCGAGTGACCAGCAGTGACCGCTGGCCCGAGCTCTCCGGCCATCACCTACTAGTTCTTGTACTTGACGAAGAACTCCTCTGACTCCACCAACTGTCCCGACGGCAGCTGAGGACGACGAGGATGATGAAGATGATGAAGATGAGGATGATGATGAGGGTGAGGAAGGCCAGCAGGACACACCCTCCGGCCGCCCCCCCCACCGCTGACCACCGGCCTCACCTCCTTCTTGACCACCCGCATGGACAGGACCTTGTCCACGATGGCCGCGTCCTCCTCGCTCGGGTTCTCCTGCCGGGGGACGAGGAGGAGGAGGAGGAGGAGGAGGGTGAGGAAGGCCACGGGAGGAGGGGGTGGGGGGAGGAGAAGGTGAGGAGGATGATGGGAACGGGATGGGGATGAAGGCCACGGGGATGGAGAAGGTGAGGAAGATGATGGAGATGATGGGAACGGGATGGGGATGAAGGCCACGGGGATGGAGAAGGTGAGGAAGATGATGGAGGAGGTGAAGAACCTCTAGAAGATGATGGAGATGATGGGAACACGATGGGGATGAAGGCCACGGGGATGGAGAAGGTGAGGAAGATGATGGAGATGATG